CAACCACTTACCTGTAATATCTTTTTTTCCAAGCCTTTTTACGTAGAATAATTTAATAGATAACATGAATTCATTTACTTTTTTTTTTCTTAATTGCTAATATTTTATCGGTGTCCTGTATTTTGGTTGGGTAGTGACACTTAAGGGTCTGAATTTTCAAGCGCGCTATTTTAATACCCTGAATTTTTAAAATATACACTTGAGTTGTTAAAACTAACATTACAGTTTGGACAAAATTACAAAAAATGCCCATATTCAGATTTTCTGTTTTTTCACTGTTTTTCATAGTTCCATTCAAATGCTTTTATTCTTTGTTGGAAGTGTAGAGATGAGAAAAATAGTAAAATAAAAGTTCAGTGAGTGAGCAAAAGAGAATGTAAACATGGTCAATTTTATAATTTTGCCCTCTAATGTCAATTTTAACAGAGAGTTGGACTTAAGTGCATATTTCTAAAAAATTCAGGGTACTAAAATGCCCCACTTGAAGATTCAAGCACTTAAGTGTCACTACCTCGAAAGTATAAGGTAACTATGTATTATGGTTGGACTGTTCAACCTGTGTCCTAGTGGCCAAACTGGTTTTACATCTAATTCAAATTTGAAAACAATGGTTTTTCTAAGGACAAATTAGGAAATCAAATCAAAGTAAAGACACATTGCACATTCCTTTCCCCTCTATTGTGCTGTGTCTGTTTTGATAGAAACATTGCGGAAAGTTCTTAAGGAAGCCCAGGCCCAGGCGCCCTCCCCCCAACCCCCCTTCCTGGCCAGTTCGGGCCTGTATTTTAATTGCTGAAATCTGGGCTTCTACTCCGGCCCATCTAAAATTTAATGAATACTAGTCCAGGTCCAGCTTTTAATTTCTAAAAAAATGACCAGGTCTGGGCCGTCCGGCATGACCCAATGTAAGTTTATGGTGATGTTTGGCATCGATGCTGTTTTCTGAGAAAATGACTCAATGTAGGCACCACATCAGAGAAAGTGGTGCTTCAAACAATGCCATCTTGTTTGATACCGTTTTTCCAGAAATAAAATGTTGCTCTAGACTATTCCTTGGAAATTGGAAAAGTGTGGTCTGAAGCAATGTCAAATTCAATGTTTTCTGAGAAAACGGTGTATTGCTGCTAGTGATGCAATGATGTGGCATCATCTTGAACGTTGGATAATAATATAGATCAATATTGAAAACGTTGCTGCCAGCACTGGTACCAAACAAAACCAGTACTGTTTTTTCAGAAGAATGCCTATGTAACAGAACCGGTTCCAAACAAAAAATAAGAAAGCACGGTTTGATATTCCCATCACTGATGCCAAACACATACTATTTCAACCCTAATCAGAATCCGTCACAACCCTTTGATATTTGACATGAAAGTTTTTTTTTTGAGCTATCACATTTTACGACCACTTTCATCTTCTCAAAACTACCAATAATCCTCCAGCATTCCTGCAATTTGAGGTCGAGCATGGAGACCTTATTCTATAGCTTTGAAATGTACTTAGGTTATGCTCCACCATTCATTTTCAATCATTCATGGACCTTTGGCGGTATTATTTCTCAACCAAAATACTTTGCAGTTTCATAATCCCTCTACTTTGTTCACAAGCTTACTTGACTTCTGAGTTAAACGAGTCCTAAATTATATGCCCTTCTTGGATCATAGCCCATTATTGGGTTGGGCTATGCTGGTGTTGGCAGACTGGCCCAGCCCATTAATATCTTTGTATACAACATATTAAGCTTAAGCATGTGCATTAATTACTACAGAGGTGCCGAGTTAAAACCTAAAAGTAAGGGTTCATTTGATTTATATTCGGAATTGGAATTAGAATGGTCTATTCCCATAGTCTATTTGATTTAGACAGGAATGGAAATAGAAATTGAAATCAGTAGAAATAAGATTTCATTCCAAATGGGGGAATGTCACTCCAACAAGAATGAAAATAGGATTCTAATTCCACTCAACAAAACATTTGGAATTGGATTTGGCCATTCCATTTTCGATTCCAGACTCCTATTCCTGCGAACCAAAAGGGGTATAAGTATTTTGACTCAAATAATTATGACTTTATGAGTCTATTCGATTTCATAACTGTTTGGTTAGGGTTTAAAAAAAACGATTTCAGAATTTTTGTTAAGGATAATTAGACTTGATGACCAACTTGTATTATGATATAAGTTCAAAATGTGGGGGCACAAAATGTTTAGCTTTTAGAGTGGTCCCCAGCCCGGTGCAACAATATTAGGTACACTACACATCCGATCTACAACCGATCCCTTGTAGAGTAGAAGGTTGGTGCGAATTTGTGAATTCCATCTAATGATTTTGACCATAGGGCTGTGTTTGGTTGTAGTGCAATTTTATTTGTATTAACACAAATGAATAAAAATATAAATGTAAAAAATGCATATTTTTGTTTAATTTTACTTTAGATTTTACTTTATTCTGCTTCATGTGTTAATTTACTTCATTTATATTGCAATCAAAGAAAATAAGCTCAAATTTGAAACAAAAATTAGTAAGAATTTGCACTGTCATGGTTTTACATCAGTGCAATTTTATTTGCATTGCTGCCAAACACAACCTAGAGAAAAGTAGGAATGCAATTTGGGCGGGTTCAATTTGAGCCCAGATCGACCTAGCTTGCAATTTTACATGGGCTAGGCTTGGATTTTCTATCTTTTGATTGGGCTTAGCATAAAAGCTTGGGTTTTTGTATTTTTTAAGCCATGCTTGGGCCTAATCCTTAGATAATGCAGAACTGATCCGAGCCCCGACCGACCTAGTCTGCAATTTTACATGGGCTGGGCTTGGACTTTCGGTCCTTGGAATAGGCCTAGCCTAAAGGTTAGGGCTTTATATTTTTTAGGCCAGGCCTGGGCATAGTCCTTAGATAGTCCAGAACTGACCTGACCCAAGATCGACCCAGCCCACAATTTTACATGGGCTGGGCTTGGATTTTTGGTCCTTGGGCTGGGCCTAGCCCTTAGATAGTCCAAAACTGATCCAAGCCTGACCCTACCTTATAATAATCTGAACCTGGCCTGCCTATGTGCATACATAGCATATACAAAATTACAAATACATATATGAATACTTTTTCTTTATAAACAATACATAAATGTATATTCATATATACATACATACATTTATATTAATTTTAGCATAGATTGATTGATCAACCCAAGCTTGGTACGAACCTCAGTTCAATCCAAGTACATCAAATTTCAATTTTGGCGGAGTCGAAGTTGGGCCCAGGTTGAACTTAAACCCGGCCCATCCCAGCCAACTTGCACCCCAAGAGAAAAGTCAAAAAATGGGCTGCATAAAATCCATTTTTCATATCACAGGTAGAATTGATCGGTTTGGTTCGAATCGATGAGCTAACTAACTATTCGGTTTGACCATCTCTCTCAACTGAACCGAGCCGAACTAGAGTTTAGAAGTGAACCGATCCCAACCGAATTCAATTCAGTTAAGTTCGTTTTAATAATTAATGAACAGTTAATTATTAGACTTTAGTATAGGTTTTAGTAGTTAGTTTAGGTCTTAATGAACAATTAATACAATTACAACTATACTCATTTAATGAACAATTTAATGATTAATTATTAAAACAACTACACACATTCTTTACAAACAATTAATAAATAATTAATAATTAATCTAGGTTTTAATGCCTTAATTGTTTAGAGTCTCTAGACAATTAATTAACTATTATTAATAGGCCTAAAAATGTAAAACACAATGGTGAATTGCGAATTGGCCCTTGGAAAAAGTATTAATTATTAATTAATAAGTATAAAATTTTAAATAAAATATTATATATTTAATAGACTTAATCAGATAAAACCACAAGTTTGATTTTGGTTGTCCGATTTAAAATCTCAATCAAACGGAACCAAAACAAAAAACCAATTTTTTAAAGAAAGAAAAATCGAACCAAACCAAACTAACTTATTCAATTTGGTTGGATTCGATTTTTAATTTATCATCCGAAATTGAACACCCCTAGAGAGGCCAAATTTATCATATTGAGTGCCTATCAATAAGAACAGCCCAATATGGGCCCAGTCGATACTACCATACCCAGCCATCCTACTTGGCGACATTTCCTAATCCCGAGCCGAGAGAACAACTATGGAATTTAGAAATGTGTGTGAAGAAAGCCAAATCTCTGCTCATTAACAATTTACGTTTATAATATGGGGTGGGATTTCATGCTTAGGAGTGTGTGCAGAATTTTTGATTGCAGGGAATCCCATTTGGTCCATCCTACGCTTGTCGTTTTGGTCAAAAAGAAGGTGGAGTGTAAAATACTCTTTTACCCTACATCCATGGCCAATAAGCCAAAATTTTTGCACCTCTCTAGTTAGTGTTTCCTGCATCTGATCAGTGATTGCTATGGTACCACCATTGCAGCATTTCTCTGCATAATTTCTCATGTTTATGTTTGGAGTTTTGCTTGATTTTTTATTTTTTTTTAATACAAGTACAAGAGGAAACTGGTCATCTCTCTCTCTTTTCTCCTCTCTCAGATAAGGTGATAAGATAGAATTAAATAGAACATGTAGGAGAACAGGTAGTAACAGACCCGTGAATGCTGAACTCTTTGTAATGGTGATTTTTTTTTTTTGTTTTTGTTCGTGACTCTTGAAACCCCATCACTACTAACAAAAACAAATAATTTATATAAAAAAGTTATTCTTCCTTTCATGACTTAAAATCTCCTCAACTTCTCCCATAATGGCATTCACATACCTCTCTCATTTAGTTTTTGTTTTGTCCATTTAATTATTCGGGTGAATACAGTTCTCAATATATATAAATGCTGTCTTACTAACTGTATTTACTTATTAAGACAATATAAATACATACAAAATAATAAAAAACAAGATTCTTGAACCTGAATATTTATAATCTTTCCAAAATGAGCCTGCAATGGAATTATAAACTATGGAAGGTTAATTAGGTAAGCAGGGAAATAAAAGTAGAAAGTCAGAAACACCATAAATAGTTGAAGCAGTTGTCCCTTAACAATTTAGAAAGATAATAACTGCAAAGAAAAGAAAGGAGTGAATCCCAATTCCCAAACAATAACTGGTAAGGAAGTCTGAGAACTGTCTTTTACCAGATTTTCTGTGTGGAGTATGACCTTGGGAAAGTGACTGGTTTGTTTTTTCTTTTTATAACCTGAGCTAACTGATGATCAATGGACATAAAAAGTAAAAACGATTTTTTTCATACATAAGCTCTGGCTTAATTTTCTACCCACACCACACCTTTTATGGATCTTACGATCCTATATCAAATTAATATGTTCAAACAAATTAATACCATATCTATGCATGAATTGAAGCTCTATCCATCACTTAATGTTAACCCAGATGCCCTCGCTGGGAATTTCTTGATGAACCACAAACAAAAGATAATAGCCCGAAGGTGCCAGAAAACCTGAGTTGGGTGCCGTCACCTCCACGTCGTACACCGAGCTCGACACCGGCGTCACCTTTCCACCATCCAGAACCAACAACCTCTGGTTCATGGAGAATGAATGCGTTGTGAACGACGGAGACACCATCGTAACCGACACCCATTTGTCGTTTAATGCACCCGAGACCGAGAACCTTACTGATAATCGCTGCCCATAACTTAGTTGAGCTTGAGATCCCGGAGACAGAATCTTTGGCCGTAAAGTCGAAAATTTGGAGTCCAAGTAATCCGGTGAGAACGCCTCCAAGCTTAAATCGGTTGGATAAAGGACGCCGGTGAAATTGTAATACCTATGTGGGTTGTTACCACCGACGAGAACTCGTCCATCCCGAAGTAGGATTGCAGTAGAATGGTAGAGACGCGGTGTGGAGGACGGGTTTTGTACTTCGAACCTTGACCCTGATGGGTTATCTGGTCTGTAAATGACCGGTTTGAGTTCTGGTTCTCGGCCCAATTCCCACCCGGCAGTCCCAGATGAAGCACCATTGATTATAAGGACATGGCCATTAGGAAGTAAAAGCATATCTCCCATGACTCTTGCCAGCGGCATTGTCTCCATGGACCAATCCGGCGACGCATCGGTAATTTTGATTCTCCCGCATGTGTCCAAGGCTCTGACGAATTTTCCTTTTTTCGCTTGAACGTAGGAATCTTTTGGCGCGCCACCGCATACCAGAACTTCAGCTTCGACGGATGATTGCTGTAAGTTCTTCAATGGGAGAAGAACGGAGGAACCCGTACTCGGGTAGCTCCTTGGATCACCGCCGGGCATTTGCGGGAACGTTTTCACGACTGCATTTTTGGTGTAGTCCAGTAGAATTGCGCGGTTATTGGCGAAAATAAACAAGTTACCGTCGACGTTGAGATGAACAAAGGGATAGAGATTGTTCTCTATCTTGGGATCATTCGTTTGGGATAAAAACGGGAGAGAGAATAGGATGTTAGTGGACGAGGATTTTGGGTAAAATTCATAGTTGAATTGACGACGTCCACCGATAATGATAGAGCGGCCGTCGGGTAATATATGGTTGGTGGCGTACCATCGTCGAGCAAGGAGTCCGGAGCTGTTCTCCTGCCAGTCACAGCCATTGCACGGGGTGAAAATCCTGACAGCATGGTCACCGTCATTGAATCCACCAGTTTGGATGAGACGCCCATCTGGGGAAACCGCGCCGGAGGAGCACCAGACATCAGTTAGGACCATGAGAGGCCGTATGGATTTAGACAACACATCATATTCGGCGGAGTGAGCTGTACAGTCAACAGTGAGAACGGTGTCATTGGGGTCGTTCCGACACTTTCCGTCGGGTAATGGCAGCTTCGACTCGCCGAAGTCGGTTCGATCGAATATGACGACTCGGTCGTTGTTAAGTAGCTGCATGTGCATTGCGGATATGCCGATGCTTTGCTGAAGGAGGTCCCATTTGCCTCCGCCCCCAGCGGCATGGGTCAGACTCCGGCAAGGAGTTGCGACAAGGAAGAGCAGCAACCAGACAAGGAAGGAGGGAAACCAAGTACTAGTTGCCATGATTTTCTGAATCTATCAATGTGGGTGAGAAAGACTGAAGACTGAAGACTGAAGACTGAAGACTGAAGACTGAAGACTGAAGACTGAAGAGGGCCGGATGTATGTCTGGTTGTTCCCCCTTCGATCCGGTCTTGTTAAATACTAGTGGGGGTTGGAAACACGTGCAAGAAATAAAGTTCGAATTTAGAAACTGAGAACTAAGAAGAAGCTACTAAGTGGCATCGTACCCTGGTTTCCTTTTGGTCTCATTGAATACTAGATTAGCCTCTCCCTCTCTCTGTCAAATATTTTTTTTAGGTAGAATATCTCTCGATGAGCTGGCTAATTTTACGTCTCTTTCTGCTTGTGCTTCTCGTTGTTATGAGAGGAACGATATAGTAGGCACAACAAAGTAAGCACGTTAAATGGGTATTAATCTTTTTCCAAGGTATTAAATGAGCACTTGTTAATTTGTCTCTCTGGACGTAATGGAGGTATTTTATGAGACCGTATGACAAGATACAATAGGCACAACAAAGTAAGCACATGAGCACTTGATATATATTTTGACAACTACTAAAAATGGGTATTAATCTTTTTCAAAGGTATTAAATGAGCACTTGTTAATTTGCACCTTTTTCAAGCTAATGTGCATTATCCGAATTTTCTACTCACGAAAACTCTACCCACATAACATCATAGCCACACATGGGAGAATATCTCATCATTTTACATATTATTATGCACGAGGAGATGCTCCCAATTCACATAGGTAGCATTTTGTGAGTAGACATGGATAGAGTTGTTATGGGTGAAGATTCCGAGTCTTTTCAACCAATATTTTTCTTTGATGAACCAACCCCGGTTCACTTTTTTCTACCCTCAAGGCTCTTATTTTGTAATATTTTGTATGTATTTGTACTGTACATATTTGCATTTGTTTTCCTTCCAAATTAAGCCCAATTAATTATTGAATAATTGAAGTAGTATAGGTATTTTCAAAATGGCATGGTGAGTCGAAGACAAGCTAGAAAGGAAATAAACACTTAAAAATAAGTCCAACTTTTGGGTTTCTATTCTCAAAAAAGCACTTATTTTGTACTTATTTACCAAATAACAATAAACAATTATAGCTCAGTTTGAAAAAGAGTATAAATACAAATACATACAAAATAATATAAAATATAAGATCTTATACTCTACAAATTTGTATTTCTACTCCTTCCAAACTGAGCCTATTGATGTGGTCCTGACTTCGAAATAAATGCTTATTAAAACAAACACTTATATTTAAGCACTCCCAAACTTGGCCCTATATTGCCAATTTTCTTATTGTTAATTTTATTACTCTAAGGTCATCAATTTTGTCCGTTTTTTAATTAAAAAACAAAAACATTGAACCCACGACACAAAACCGGTATCTACTAGGCCCACTGACAGCCGGCCAGCCTAATTAAAGAGTTCTATTGAGGAGAGGAGAGGTCTTAAGTTTACACCCAGATTAGGAAACAGAAAACAAGTTGGAAAGATACAGCTCATGTCATTCACTTCAGGATTGACGGTGCTTTTACTGGATCAGTATTGAATGCAAATGCAGGAAGTCAAAAGTCAAGAATCGGAAACAATGTCAAATATTAATTTGTGTCCATATCTACCTTAACAGTCTGAGTTTATCATATATAGGTGTGAAGTGAAAGAAAGCTTGGCAAAGGATCGAAGAAATCTAGCTATATTCCAACAACTGTAAAGAGGCTTTATCTCTACGCGGAATTTAGGACCTGGGGTGACTGGCCTAGCCTGAATTGGACAGTGCTAATAATAAAAAAGATGAATCGATCCATTTGGTTTTCAAGCATGGTTTTTAAAATCGGATCAGATTGGACGGTCAGACTGTTTGATTTGAGAATCGATTCTGACTTTGGCTCTGGTTTTAGACCAAAAATCATTTGAGACAATCAAATCATTTGACCCAGAAACCAATAATCAAAGCGGTTCAATTCAATGGACTGAACCCGGTCTAAATTCTTATTGGGTTCACTGAGGTGGGCTGGTGGGCCATATATTAAAGTCTAAAAAAGACAGCTAAAAGAAAATGTAAAGAACCAAACTAGTTGCTTTTGTAAAGAGAACATATGCCTTTTCTTCCCCCCTGGAATAATAAGAATATGATGCACAGAAAAAGTTAAAAAGATTTAGCCATGTCTGATGAAGCTTTGATTTTCTGTTTTGGGTTAATATTGCTCGAATCATGTATCCATGAGTCATGACCCACCACCATATCAATTCAACAGAGTTCTCTGGATCACAACAAAATATCAGTTAAGTTCTTCTACACCCCAGAACGTGCTTATAGATATATAAACAAATTAAACCATGCAGCATATCGTAGCACCTGGCTTGGGATTTAGTGGACGTGACACTTTTTTAGTACCCAAAGAAATAGCATGATTGTTATGTTGGCTTTTGATCCTTATTCTTCCAATTCTTCAACCAATCAAAAAGGTAATATCACTAAGGGTGTAAACGGATCAAATTCGAATTGGATTAGGCAATATCTGAATTCGAATCTGATTAGAGAATCTGATATCTGAATTTGATTTGATATCCGATGGATATTAAAAATTAAATATATAAAATAAATATTTTATTAATCTAAAGTATATAAATATAAATTATTTATATAGTTTAATTATTATATATAAATTATATAAAATAATTTATATATTATATATAAGAATTAAATAATTGATCGAATTTGGGTATTTGTCGAATCGAAACAAGTCATATTTGAATTCGATTGATTAGATAGTCAAATTATCCAAATTTAATATGTCGAATGTCAAATTCAAAATTGAATTTTTGAATACCGTTGACACCCCTAAATATCACTTCCTAAATCTCCGAGTTCTACTGTAGGATTCAACTCAAATCACATATTGTATAACATCTAGGATCCATTTGGTTTATAGTTAGAATCAGAATTGGAATCAGAATTAGAATGTTCTATTTCTATACTGTTTGGTTTAAATAGGAATGAAAATGAAAATTAGGCTCAGTTTGAATGAGATTTCACTTTCAAGGAAAGAAAAAGGAATGAACATTCTCCCAAATGAAAAAATACCATTATACTAAAAATAGAAATAAGATAACGATTCCAATTAATTTCACCCAATCAAACAGTTGAAATTAGAATGACTCATTTCAATTTTAACTCCATACCCCTATTCCTGCTACCAAACAGGTCCATTAGAATTTCGAGGTCTGATTGTGTTTGATCACTTGATGCATGGTGTAATGCTTGTGGACTGTGGTTTATTAGTCCAGCAAATTATGTCTGGTCATGAGAGCCGGTGGGGCCCATAGATCATGTGCATTTCTGTTGTGCAGGAATCTGTATTACCTTTACCACAAATGAGCCAGTTATCTGTGGTCTCAGAACATAGAATTTCAAACAGCTAAAACCACTTTTCCCTTTTGATCATATCGAGAAGTTATCCGTGACATGGGTTATGGGTTTATGCTTTTATGCGATGTAAACACTAAACACAAACAGGTGCAAGGAACCCATATTGATTAGGGCCATTTACGAATCCATTTATAGGTTCGGGTTGAATCTATATCCAATTTGGCATTGAAAGAGGGCGCTTCTGCTTATAAATTTTATGCCATAGATAGAATGTTTCCTCCAAACCCAATGAAATATGGATATGATGGGTAGGGTACCATTTTCCATTTTCCGGATCCAGATATGGGTTGGACCATTGTTGGATGAATCTAGATTCGAGAGGGTCCAGAAAATGTCAAAAGAAAGCAAGAGCTTTGAAATATTTTACAAAACTCTTAGCTGGGTCTCTATTAGGTTATTAAGGCTCAGTTTGGAAAGAGTTTATATTGCAAATATATATAAAATAATATAAAATATAAGATTTTGTATTCTATATATTTGTATTTATACTCCTTCCAAATATAAGGTTTTTATGCTCAGTTTAGAAGGAATATAAATGCAAATATGTAGAGTGTAAAACCTTATATTTTATATTATTTTATATGTATTTGTATTATACATATTTGCATTTGTACTCTTTCCAAATTAAGCCAAAGAGTTAAAGATCAATTTGGATTGATTGAAGGATATAATTAAAAATTTAAAAGTACCGAGAAGGAGGTACATTCGAAATTTCCTATAGTTTTTTGATGGTCATGTGAATGGGAGTGACAGTTGGGCTTCAGTGTTTCATGGAGTTTTCTTTTGGGGTTAAAATATTTAATGGAGCTTTGAACATTAAGAACTACATGCACATCTGCGCCCCACAAACGCCCCACATGCACATCTCAGCATGTATTTGAAACATCTTCCATAGTTGTTAGTGGGAATTGTTCTCAATATACGGTTAGAATATGCTGTGGGGCGTTTGTGGGGCGCAGATGTGAATTCATACATAACCAAGGGATTATTAGCCTAGAAGCAAGTTTGGATCAGATCCCAAACAACCGGTCACTACAGCCTTTGCAACTGTGCACCAAAAACACCTCGTTATAAAGGACAAGGAAGATGTTATCAATGCACTACTACAAAGGCTGTTCTGACCCTTGTAGGGATTACATTAGGTGTCCCTAGATGTGGACTTTACCTTAGATGAAGCTCATCTATCTTAGGCAATACTTGGCTCTTACCATGTTGGAGGACATGCATCCTATCACCTGATTTTTAGATTCAAACCCTAAACCTTAAAACTTAAACCCTTAAATTCAACTCTAAACCCTAAACCTTAAAGTCTTAAATCTTAAAATCTAAACTCTAAACTCTTAAATCTTAAACCCTAAGTTCCTAACACAAAAATCTAAACTCTAAACCCTAAACCTTAATGTCTTAAATCCTAAAATCTAAACTCTAGACCCTTAAATCTTAAACCCTAAGCCCTTAAACTCTAAACTCTAGCATAAAAACTTAAATCCTAAACCCTAAAATCTAATCTGTAAACCCTAAAATCGGTGGTATAAAATGGTTATGACAAGATAAATGTCCACAAAGGTGGTAAGAACGTATTTTCCATTTATCTCTAGAGTCTAGATGGACAGCAAATCCAATGGGCATAGACAGGACAAGCTGGATCATACCAATTATTCGTCGAGAACAAACTGATCCAAGGCCCAAAGGTCATTAATTAACTATTGCCAATTGGTGTTGCTAACGGGAGTGGACCCACCCCATCCGTTGGTGTCGGGAGCCCACTAGCCCAGCCCATTATGATTCATTTCTTGGGGAAGGCAATTTCATAGCGGGAATTCTGTTGATTGAAACATGGAAGCAACGGGTCGAATTGATTCTTGAACTTTTCGGCTTTCCTACCTAACACAGTGCGTAGTGGTTGGGTAGTTATTGTCTATAATAATAAAGATGCAATCA